ACAATCTCAAGCTACTTCACGTATTTTTATATTACGTTGGCACTCATGGACCTACCATAGAGTACGAAGCATGCATAAAATTACACCTTACTCATGTAAATGTCTAAACACTTACATTTTAAACTGTTTCACTTCAAAACTGTACTTTTACAACACCCTTATTTTGATAAAAAATATTTGCATTGGTTGTTAAATAAATTCTACAGTTTCGTTTTGTTCATAGGCGTCATTTTATGAGCTGCTCTGTGCGCAACACCCCTATGATTTTTAATTGCCTTTGATTTATAAATACTAGAAAAATAGACAAACTATTCAAGTCATTCATCGAAAACCGAATATTCAATATACATTGTTTTTTTTAATAGTCCTTACAAAATAACGACCCTCTGGGACAGTCTTCATAACTAATAATCCAATAAATATACGGAAGAATAAAAGATAAAAACAAAAATAGTTTTGATAGATAAAGCATTTAGCTTAACTAAAAACAACAATGAGTGCCAAAGGCTTCATGCTAAACGCAACGCAATGCAAATATACTTTGTCGCACAGACAAAAGTGATCAATTGTAACTTGATTAAAGAATGAAAGCAAAAAAAATTTTACTTTTGTGATTAAAGTTAACATGAAAACGTTTATCGAAATAAACACGTTGAACGAGAAAACAATTTGCAATAATTCAAATATGATATTTAAACATTCGTTACAAGAGTAAAGAAAAGTAATAGTTTTCGGTTATGTAAACTAATGAATGAACAACGTTCGTTGATCTTGCATAATCACGTGATTAACCTTTCAATGGACGTAAATCTGGACACGATAATATTACAGAAGTCTTAGTTTGCAGTCTGAGTTTAAACAAAAAAAATTTATGGGAGTTAAGTTAAAAGATTAAAAAGTAAGAAATTGTAGTTTTAAGTTAAAATTTTAGATTATCATAAACTTTAGTTTAGTAGTTTCAGGTAGTGCATTGTGGGTCATATATTAAGGTAGAGCATTGTGGGTCTGTGAGGTATTGTGAATCTAATTTTTTTGAAGAACAACTTTTTGTAAAGTTCCTATCGTTTAAAACAGCTTTCTAAATTTGCTTTATCATCTTACTATTAATCAAATAGTTTATATACATGCTCAATGACACCAGTCATGTTTTTTTTATGAGTTGCTATGTTTCATAGGAAAATAAGTAAAATTAAGTAATTTATAAACCACATTTTCATGATCATAATTTAAGCAGAAATATCTTTAAATTAAGGTCAATAGACTCGCATTACTATAATAAACAGGGTAATGCGAGTCTTTTGACCATAATTGTAAGCAGAGATTTCAATTATTTAACCTTTCAAAGTTCTGAATAGAAATTAACTAAAAATCATAGTTTTAAAATAGTTTTAATTAGAAAAAGACTTGTCTTGATATTCTTACATTTTTTGCTCAATATTATATAAAAAAAGACTGCGATTACTTTATTTTACCCTAATTGTACTGTTCATGAAAACCACTTATTTGGACCTATATAAATAAATGAAAAACGGATAACGTTCAAGTTAAAAACGTTTTTTTAGAAATCAGTATATCTCTAATGAAGTTAGAGATGAAAATCTCTCCGAGAGAATTATTATGACAGTAAAATAATTTTTCATTTAACTAAGTTTAAAAAAAAAACGCAACACTACCACAACGGCTGAGCCATACACTCCCTCAACGGCCGAGCAAAATACTGCAAATAAACCGATTGTTAACAGAATAGAGCTGCATCACTGAACTTTAAACTTGACTTTATGAATCAGTTTATTAAAGTACTGAAACATTGTGTTGTTAGATTATTTAACAACAACAATTAAAGATTTTAATAGGCTACAATTTTGATACCATATTAATGCTACCGAAATTTTTCTTTACATCAGAAATTTCAAAATTCTCCATTAACTGCAAATTGTTGTGAAACTACTTATTTTATTATATTTAGTTATAGTATATATATTTTGTTATATTTAGTATATAGTTAGTTATTTATTATTATAGTTCAGTTATATATTTTATATATATTTTAGTTATTCTATTCATATATATATTCTATTCATATATAGTTATTCTATTCATATATATTTTATTATATTCTAGTTTGTTTTGTCTTAAAGTTATTGTTGCAATGTTGCAACTTTATTTCTCTTTATTGCAATGATTGACATTATCAGGTATCCAAGTCCATTTGAATAACGTTTTGAGATGAGTCGTTTTTATAGTCTTTATTTACAGAAAAAGCTCTTGCCATCATTATAAAATTTTAAAAAATTATAATTTTGCAATTACCGTCTGCAGTTCGGAATGGTAAAAGTCGCTTTAAGGCCAATGTCTTTGTCTTTTTCTTTGTATTCAGCATAAATTTAACTTCTTTATATTTTTCAATTTTGTACAATTGGATATACTAATAAACAATTGATCTGAAGCAACCATATGAAGAGTCCATTTATAAATCGTGAAAGTCCGAGAAAATTGATTTTGGGAAAACGACAATAAACTGAACTTCTCATAGTTGCTAATATTTGTAGATTTTATTTATAAAGAGGTAGGAACTCAAAGTAAATATAGTTTAAAGTTAATATAGTTGGTTGTTTGACCACAACATTTTATAAAGCATATCAAATTTCTAAGATATTGATATTGCAAGATTTATTTTATACTTATTTTCAATTTTTTTGATGTAAAATATTTATATAGTAATACATAAAAATCAGGAGTATAAATTTTCACTTTCAGAGGTAAAAAGCAAAAATTGCTGTAATGTAGAGCTTGTTTCGTCAAATATTGTTGACAACTTGCTTGTTGCTTCCAAGATATGTGACTTGATAATTAATTTTTCTTGCTTTTTCTTCCCGTTTTTTAATTGATTTTTTAATAAACTTTAAGAAATATATTCCTTGCAATGTAACCAGCAGTAACTCCAACATAATCTCTTGAAAAATCATAGAAAAAAGAAGAAAAAAACATTTTTTTGCGTTTAACAAGTTGTTTCTAAAATTTTTAATAAAATGGAGTATAACAAATAATAAGTATGTTTTAAACACTCTTTTTCTAAACTGGATGATAAGTTAATAATTTTCCATCTCCAGTATATGCTTTATAAAACTATAAAAATGCATTAAGATTGGTAGAATGGTTATAGGTAACAACAGCTCTTATCTTAAATTCATATTGGTGCATTAAGGTAGTACACTCATCAATTTCTTTTTTCGAACGTAAACCAGTTATCTTAACTTTAGGTGAGGATTTCAAAACATAAGAATAAATTATTGAAGCCCTACATAAAAACAAAAACAACTTTTTATAAAAAATTTATTTTTGTTTTTATGATTGTAGGGCTTCAAAAATTATATTCTTATAAAGATTATTATTTCAATCTGTACCAAATTGTTTACCACTTTGATATTGGACTGCTTTTTGCAAATACATCTTACCCACAAGAAGCAGAAAATCGCTTAATACCAAATTTTTGTCAATGATTTTTCTAGTATATTATAGTTTTTCAATTTGTAATTTTCACCATTTTGAAACCATTAAGGTAAGGAAATATGATAGCATTTATTAGACAATGAAAAATTAAGAATTCTATCAACAGCTTTTGACTCCAAGACTGTTGGTATGTCTGAGCAGAATTACTATTGCAACAACACAATAGCAGAATTACTATTGCAACAACAAATTGGAAACATAATGTTTATAAAATAAAAGGTTTTCAATTTTGATAGAACGATGATTGTTTTGAATAGAATGACGATTGTTTTGAATAGAATATGATTGTTTTGAATATAATGATTATTTTGAATAGAATGATGTTTTTGTTTTTTTAATAGAACAATGATTCTTTTAAATAGAATGATGATTATTTTGAACAGAATGATGATTGTTTTAAATAGAACAATAATTGTTTTGAATAGAATGATGATTGTTTGGTATAAAATTTGAAACATTTAATGAGCTTTAAATTATATAAATCAGAGACTTTGATAGAATGATGCTAATTATTTAAAAAGTAAAATGGTTTAATGTTGGGAAATATTACATTCAAACTTGCCTAAAAATTAGGAATCTTGGCTCTAGCTAAATCTAATAACAGACCAAACAATTAAAAATAAATTGATTTATCTAGTTAAAAAAATTATTATATTATATATAGCAGCGCTGGCCAAACGTTTTGTCACAAGAGCCGCATTTATATACTTACGTGAGCCGAAGAGCCGCAACAACTTCATGTTTGTTTTTTTATATAAGAAACTTTTATTCTCTTTCTTTTGATTATCTGAATTTTAAGAGACTTTCGTACTAGATAAGTAAAAAAACTACCCAAAAAATAAGAAATTTCTAGTACTAGCCCATTTTCTTGGTTTCATATAAAAACAACAATTTGTAATTCACTATTTAAAATCATTTTTTAAAGAAATATTTTTAGAAAATACAAATTATTTAGGAAATTCCATATGCTCCTAAGGGGTAGAAATAATTGTTGTATCACTATTCAACAATATCATTTTAATATGAAATTTAGATATTTCTTGGATACAAAATATCATTTTTTAAAGATTTAAGTAAAATATGTATACAATTGAATTTAGTTAATTGTTTTAAAACACTCAATAAATTTTTTAAAGAAAAAACTATTCCTTTAAAGATTTTGTTTACAATGCCATTATATCTGATTTATTTTATAAAATTCCCTTCAGACTAAAAAATCATTTCTATAGTTTTCGACAATCACATGATCATACTGATTTTGCACAGCACACGATTAGGTGCTGTGCAACACACTGGCCATGTGCTGTGCAACACACTGATCTTTTTTATGATAGATTTTTGCACAAGCGCATGCTGATCATAAACTTTTTTTTGATTAACAAAATTATAACAATGCTTATATCAATGAAATAATAATTAAAAAACCAACACTAAAATTAGATTATTTTACTTGATTTTTACAATCAAGAAATAACTTTTTCATCATTTTATCAATTTTTTACTTTGATCAAACTAATACTCATAACTTTACTGGTAAGTTTCTTAAAATCTGGTTTCAAACTTGTAGTGGCTGTTCTAAGTAATTCAGACAAATGCTCGTTGGTTAGATTTGCACGATACTTTGATTTGACAAATTTCATAGTAGAGAATAAAGATTCACATGTATACGTTGAACCAAAAATTGAAATGAATTTTATGGCAATCTTTTTAAGTTGAGGATACTTAACCTCGGGAACTATCTTCCAAAATTCCATAAAAGTTATTGTTTTATGCAGCATAAGTAGATTTTGATCTTCTTGGAGATCTAGTAGTTCCATTTCAAATTGAGATATATCTTCAAGCATTTTTTCAGGAATTGGACAGCCATTACTAATAATATTAATTAAAAAAGGATTTACTATAAATCCTAAAGAAGATTTTAGTTCATGCAAATCTTTAAACCTTTTTTGAAAGTCTTTTTGTAAATCCTTTAGTTTGTCCAAGTATGATTCAATCTTATCGTCATCATACTGAATTGAAGGATTAGAAGTAATCATCTTCTTCATTTGAGGAAAATGATTAAATTTTTTCAAGCTAAGATCTTTCTGAAAAAGAATAATTTTTTTTGAAAACTAAATATCGTTTGTGCAAGATCAGATATATTTTTTTCTTTTCCCTGAAGAAACAAATTCAGACTTTTTAAATGTTGCATTATATCAGTCAAAAATAAAAGATCTTGCACAAAATTTATATCGTCTAGGATTTCAAATGTCTTTTCTTTTTCAATCAAAAAACATTTAATTGGCTCTAATAGTTCTACAAATCTATAAAAAACGTCACTACTTGAAAGCCATCTTACAGAACAGAAAAATGACACGTCACTTGGCTCGTCAGCAAGATCCAATTCATTTATAAAGTTTCTAAACTGTCTGTGATTTTTTGCATTTGCTTGAATATAATTTACAATCTTTAAAACAGATTTAAAAACAATTGGAAAGTTAAAATGTTTTGCAGCTAAATGTTCTCGATGAACAACACAATGAATTGGGATAAATTCTGGATACTTAGGGTCACTTTTTAATTAGCCTATAAGTCCTAAATGTTTTCCAGCCATTGCTGATGCACCATCTGTAGCAACACTAACAAGCTTGTTGATAGGTACATTAGCTTTAAGCAGAGCTTTGTCAAGGGCTTCCTTGATATCAACTCCACGAGTTGTGTCTTTCAACTCAACTAAATCTAGTAACTCTTCTTTTACAATTACGTCTGAAGTCACATATCTAACGAATACAGCCATTTGAGGCTTGTCTTGAATATCTGTTGATTCATCTACAGCTAAACTAAATGCTTCACAGTTTTTTAAATCGTTTAGTAATTGCTGTTCAACATCAATACTAATCTCAGATATTCTTCTTTCGGTTGTATGTCGAGAAATAGGAATTTGTGATACTAATCTTTGGATTTTGCTATTACTAGGATCTAAAACCGACAGGACATCTGAAATGTTTTGCTTTACAAATTCTCCATCGGTATAAGGATGTTTACCTCTGGCAATATTCCATGCTATAACAAAACTTGCTTCTGTTGTATTAATTGATTCTTGGCTGTAAGATGAAATATTTAGTTGTTGATTTTTATTTTTCGTTTTGAGCAATTCAATTTTATTCTTTCTGTAATTTGAACATAACGGATATTCTTCAGAAAATTGTTTATGTTTTGTTTCATAATGACGTTTAACATTGCATGTCTTGTTATAAGCAAGTTCTATATTGCAAATTAAACACATAGGTTTATTGTTTCTTTCAATAAATGCATATTTTTCTGTCCAATCATTATGAAATATTCTGTTTTCGTATTTAATTTTTCTTTTCCGCCTTATTTTGCGAAGCAAACTAGTGTTAACTTTTACTTTATCCATTTTTGCAAGTTTTAAGACAATAAGAATGATGGAAATAATTATATGGAAATATATTAGCATATAACAATTTGGAAAAAAGCCGTTCATTCCGAATCCGGCATGAATTATAGTAATTTCTGTCGGAATACCGGAATTTATTTTTTCCCTTCAATTCTTATGACTTGTGTAAATTAGTTCATAAAATACTTATCCAATAGGGCTTTTTATTATTGGTTTCATATTCACTCTGTTCATATTTAAAAATGTTTATAAAGTTTATTACAAACAAGGGTTGTCTATTAAATTTTTGGGCCTATATAATATATACATACCATATGGTAGACCTAGGCAAAAAGTAGGTAGACCGAGGTAATAGGTATGTAAGCTATAGATAGACTTAGGCAAAAAATAGGTAGACCGAGGTAATAGGTAGGTAAGCTATAGGTAAACCTAGGCAAAAAATAGGTAGACCGAGGTAATAGGTAGGTAAGCTAAAGGTAGACCTAGGTAAAAAATACAAAGTCTAAATGAACACAATGTTATTTTGTTTGCAATAATCAATTATGTAAATAACAAAACTAAATCCAAACTTTATATATGACTGTTAAATTAAAACGTATATATTTTTGAAATATGATATATACGGTATTTAACTAGACTCAGTGAAGAATGAAGATATATATACTTAATAAATTTATAAATGTGTATTTTACTATATATGCAATATAAGAATATACATATATAAGAATATACAATATATTAGGGCTGTATGGATTTAATTTTTTTAAATTCGGCCAGAGCCGAAGCCGGATTTTAAAACAAAGTTACAGGAGCCGAAATCCTGTACATCCCTACTTGAAATTAACAATGATCAACAATATTTACCATTCTCAATACCAAGTGACAGCTATTTTCTGTTAAACTTCGTTGTTGTTATTGAAACAGAAGGACACAATTTTACATAACATATCATAACATAACAAAATAATTGATAAATTATTGAAACTTTCAATTTGAAAGTGAACTAAAGTAACTTCACTTTTCTAAAGTATCTTCAATCAGTTTTGAATCGCACTTTAGAAAATTATGCAAACTGCATTATGTGGCAGGAGTGAACTACAATGATCATTGAGGACCTCCCCAGCAACACTGAACAAACGTTATGATGGTACACTTGTCGGTGAGGCACCCAATTAAATGCAAGCTACTATCGCCAGAGCTTGCAATTGTTGCATGTCATCACTCCACTACTGTAATGGATCAGCGTGTCTCTTTATTTCTAGTTCTGGCAGATACTGGCTCGGCTGAGTGTCAATGCGTGTTGATAATTGTTGTTCGTGTGCTGTGCAACCAGCGGGCGTAGTCTGAACAATTTTATCAATACATTGTCAGAGTAATGATGATGATTTAGAAGAAGCCAGCCAGCTTTGTTTTGCTGGAACTTCTTCAATCTGCTGCTCAGCATGCTCAAATTGAATTCCATCTTGCATCGATACCTGCACTGTAACTTTATTGAATTTATATTTAACCAAATTTGTGCCTTCACTTTAGACTCTATCGTGTTTCTTCACTGAAGAATATCGTGTGTATTTCCTTTAGAACTTTTTGTTGAGTTGCTATTTGAAATTAGGATTAACTAATTAAATTGTAAAAAAATGTATATACAGATACCATCACAAACAGGGAGTTCATAAAATTACAATGAACATTGATTTGAATAAATAAAATATTAAGCATACATGTAAACACAAGCAAAAAAAATGTAATAAATGTCTGACCAAAATTAAGAAATCCGACTAAAATTTTGCCGGATTTTATAACTTTTGGCTGGAGCCGGATTTCGAGCCGAAATCCTGTGCAGCCCTACAATATATAGAATATAAGAATATACATATATAAGATTCTATTATATATTTATATATAATAGAGTCTTATATTCTAGGTGAGGATTTCTGGAAAGTTAGGAATATTATGGTTCAAAAATTAGAGTTGCTCTACAGTTTTGGACAACAACCTAGTTCTATTTTCATCAAAAATGTTACCTGCCTCTGAGAATAGTCTCTCTGAATAGACAGATGAAGCAGGGGCAGATAATATTTTTCTTGCAATTCAGTATATATGGGATAATTAACCCTATTATTGTTCCACCATTTTAACCTTGCTTCTTCATTTTCCAATTTACCTATTCCTTTCTCAGCCATAAAACAATCTATTTCTTCTTTTATCTCTTTATGTGCTATTCCACTAATACTTCTTCGCTTCTTTCCTTTAGGGTTACTCTCTCTTTCTCTCTGATGACAGCATTGATTTTGATTTACTGACTGTAAAAAATAAAAAACATAAAAACATAAAAGATGATTGCAAAAGTCCCAATGCGTTTTCAATTAACTCCCATTCAATTGAATTTAATATTAAATTTAAGAAGTGAAGGTGGTCTGCTGTGTAAAGTTGTTTATATATTTTGAGAGTCTCAATTCAATCCAACATTAAATAAATACTATTCCATCTTGGATTGGTAATAAAGGTCTTAAAATTTTGGAATCGAATTCTTTCTGTATTCTTTTTAATTCGGAGCAAGCCAAACTCGAATGGTTAAAATGAGTGCATTTTAACCATTTTTCTATCATGTTGAATACTGCATCTTTGATAACTAACTGCAGTTGATGAATAAAACATAAGATGTCTGGGACTCTATACATGTTATAAACATTTTCTCGAAGGACTAGATTTTTTTTGGAAGTATCGCAATCAGTTAGCATTGCATCGAATAAATTTCTTATTCCAGACCCTGGAAAATCATTACAGTGTAAAACACAATCCTTTCTAATAAAATTATTTGTGATCCAATGCGCAATCGTAGATATAAATGCATTGTTACTTTCGGCATTTGTCCAAATATCTGTTGTAAATGAATTATGATCAGCTGAAGAATTTTTATTAAATACTACGGTCTTTAATTTTTCATTTGATGCTGATAACATTGTTTCCTTAAAGAACATTCTACATGGAATTAGGTCTAGTGGTTTCTAATGTATAAAAATTTCATAATAATAAATAATAATAAATTATAATAATTTAAATAGGATTTAATAATTTTTTTATATTTGCGAGAAATGAATTAAAAGCGCATTTTCGATAAATCGGGATTTACTTAGTTGGTGATTTTTAAAGTCTGTTTACACTGGAAAATTTTGTTTTATCAGCTAATGTAATAAATATTTTCTAATTTTTACGGCCAATTTTCACATTTTTTTTTTTTCTTTTTTTTTTTTTTTTTTTCACAGCATGTAAAAATTAATAAACAGGGGGGTCTAAATAAGATTGGGGTGGGTGGAAAAATTTTCCAAAAATTAAAAAACGTCCCCCTCCCCCCTTGTATTAGAGATTCGAGAGTATGGAGTGGTGTTTTGCTAAAAGTTTTTGGGGTGCTACCACGTTTAACATTTTTGTGGCACAATTTGCATTCTGCTAATGTGTCAGAGACAATCGTTTGTTTTAAAATATTTCCAAACAAATGAAGAGAACGAAGACATTTTTAAGATTTTAAATGTTATTTAAATTTTAAACAATTAAAAAAATAGGATATAAATATATATATATATATATATATATATATATATATATATATATATATATATATATATATATATATATATATATATATATATATATATATATATATATATATATATATATATATATATATATATATAAACTTATTTGTTTAAAAATATTTTTAAATAAATAAATGGTTTTTCAAATTTCGGCCGGAACCAGATACACCGGAACTGTTAATAAAATTCCGGCCGGAACCTAAATACACGCAGTATGGTAAAACTACTGGTATATAAACGTATAGGATGCAGAAACTATATAAAACTATATATATATATATATATATATATATATATATATATATATATATATATATATATATATATATATATATATATATATATATATATATATATATATATATATATATATATATATATATATATATATATATATATATATATATATATATATATATATATATATATATGTTTCACAATCTATGTAATCATGAGCAAATAAAAAACAATTGAATTTTTTGAAAAATTTCTCAATTCTTGGAGATTTAATAAATATATGATATTTATATGAATTAAAGTTTTAGGAATATGTTTATTATATATATTATTTATTATAAGATCAGGTTATAGGCTATTTATAAGAACTAAGGTAAGAAATTAAGGATAAAGACCGGATTACCTGTACCGGATTACTGGTACCGGAGAGTATCAAAGCCCGACGAGTAATCCACTAGTTTAATTAAAGTAAAAGTATAAAATTTGAAACTTCTTTTTTTTTGCTGTAAAACATTAGGGTTATTGGGCTTGATCAGAGGCAGCCATAAAAAGTCTTACTTCTGTTACGGTTTGAACGTAAATAAAAAATATCTTGGACGATATTTCTTTTCTGAGCTCTCATCTAATTTTAAAGGTACTTAACTTCATACATATTTCAAATATTTAGTTATGTATTTTCCTAAACTGCATGTATTAAAATTAACTAATATTTAGTTAATATAAGCAAGTAATATTAGAGCATATTGTCGAATAAAAAAATGCAAGACTTTGAAATGCTGCAAATTAATAGAAGCTAATAAGGCCCACAGGAAGTCTGGTAAAAATGTCCATGGACTTTCTTACCCTCACATCAACACTATTCTAACAAATATTAATAATACTTAAATTTAGTAAACATATAATGTATTATGGACACACGCCTTATACTAAAATATAATGAAATTAATCCCTTATAATTATATTAAGTACCGTTAAAATCTAAAAAAATCATTTTAAATTTTAGTCAAGATAATGGCACCATCTAGAACAAAATAGGCAGAAAGTTAACTGCGAGATGGCCTTAAAGTCTCAAAAAAGGTAACAATCTTAAAGTGAAGTAGCCAAAACATTTGGCATCCCTTGAAGAGTACTCAGGAATCTTTTATTTCCAAAAAAATTAAACCACCTACCATATCTTTTTAGTCAGTTTTGATTATTTTTTATACTACCCATTTTTTGAAATTTATATAACAGCGCTTTTAGTCACCCTTCAAAATATTCAAAAGTAAGACATATAAATCAATAAATTTAATTCCTCTGCGGATAAAAATCTCATCTTTCATTTTAGGCCGTAACCTAAAATGTAAACGCGGAAAGCAGAAAAGCTACAGTGATATTAAAAAAAAAGAAACCTTGGAGGCTCTTATGCTACAGCAAGTTGTTAGGATTTTAAGATTTATTTGTTGAGATTTTTACTTTTTAAACTTTCTTTTGTATTTTTCTCAGATTCGCATTTCAAGCGTTCCTTGAAAACTTAAAACTCGATAACTTGATATAGGATAGTGTTTGTTTTTAAATTTTCAGTGTATGTTCACAACATATATGCACTTCATTTAACCCTCAGAATTTTTATGAATCACTCTAAATACTGGTTTTTAATTAATAATATCAAATACAGCTTTATTGTTTTGTTTTTTGTTTGGTTTCTTGTGTAAAATAAATTATTCAACTATCTTTTTTATTTCATACTGTTGCTGTTAATAAGCCTTCTATTTATATAATTATAAAATATGTCCATATACATCGGTTTGCATTACAAATTGGTACTTTTTGAATTGTATTTTAAACTTTTGGTACTCAATTTGCAATGCTATAATGTAAATAAGTTATACAACGATACTAAACTAGTATCATTAATCAGAAATCTTTCCAAGATGGCTCGAATAATTAAATCTAACTACACTAATAGAAAGGAGACAAAAAAAGGGATCTAATACAAATGTATAAAATATGAATAATATTGATAAATTAGAAAAAGGCATTCGTTTTCCAATTGTTAACAATCATACAAGAGGTCACTGCTTTAAAATTTCTAAGGAATCGACAAAAACAACGAATTTATCGAACTCTATGCCAGAAGAAATTGTTAAATCGCCTTCAGTCAACAGCTTTAAAGCAGCAATTGATTGCTGGATGAGCAGCAATCAATCATTTCGGCTGTCAAAATTTACCTGATAACACACTCACTGGCTCTGCCAGTGTGTTATCAGGTAAACTTTGACAGCCGAGTGTTTGAGTGTTATCAGCGTTTACTAGTAAATAACTAACTAGTTATTTAACAAAAAAAAGGTTATAGTTCACATAATAATTAATTAATAATAATAAAAGGTGGTCTGCAGATCTAGGTTATAAAAATAACGTAATGTTTGAAAACATCAAAAGTTGTTTTTAGAAGACATCACATTTTATTTTAGCTTTAGAAACTTTTCCAAAGACCAATTAAAATAATTAAAGCGGTTTATACAATTTTTGTAATAACCGCTGTTGATAACGTAAATAAGTTTGCGGCATGCAACTGTTGTGGTGGATGACACAGATATTGTTGTCAAAGGCAAGGAAGAGGGGGTGAATCCTTAAAAATTACCAACTGATTTCTTTTTTTTTTTTCAAAAAAAAAAAGCTTTTAAAACTATAAAATTATTCAACTGAACTGTGTCAAACCCGACTTAATTCGTCAAAAAACCGACTTATTTTTTTTTTTTTAATTTGTTATTTAGAAGCCCCAAGAAGTCTCAATAGTCTTGTCACAGAGCACCGCGTAAGTGTATTTAACCAGGAAGTTTACGCCTCCTTCCTTACTGTGACGCGAAATATGTCTAAAGCTTGTTTCAAACCTGGATCTCCTGCTTATAAAGCAAGCGCTCTAACCACTGCGCCACGGCCACACAACTTATAACTTGACTATAACTTGAAAATCACCTTCTTTGAATGGTACCCCCACACACACCCTCCTTTTCCAATCGCTTCCAAATTCCCTCTGTTTGCTATGATGCTTATTCATTATTGGAAAAGCAATATTTACTATTCGCAAGATGGATGTGATAAAACTTGTTAAAATAAAACAAGATAATAGATGCTTCCTCATGACAAAACTATCAAACAACACCTGTTTTTTGTCTAAGCATGGTCGGGTTGCGAAACTGTTTTGTCCGTGTTTGGAAAAAGTAAAACAAAACTATCCGAAAATATGTTGGATGACAATGAATAGAAGAAATTAGAATTACCTTGGAGTAATTAATTCATCATTGGAGTAATTAGGTAGTTGGAAATTCATCTACAGGTTTTATTTTGCGAGGAACAGAAAGCACACTTGCGAATGGGTGAAAAGAAATCCAAACTTGTTTAATAGAGAAAAAGTACCAAGTTTTTGATTTTGTGGTAAGGAAAGTGAAGAAATAAACAATTACAAATTCTTTCGAATTTGTTTAATTAAGATATTGCTATAAATATTAATATATGATTTTGTATTGAAAATCCACCTGTTACTTGATTTATTTTTTATTTTATTTTATGTGCCCTAAAGAAGTACTAACGGTCTTATGACAGTGCACCGCGCAAAAGCATTTGAAAGGATTTTCACGCTTCTTTTCCAATCGATGTTGTTAAACTTTACCGGAGGTGGCGTTGATCCACATTGAAAATAAACTCAAAATATAAGTTTATCTTTAAAGAAAACTATTTTAAGCAAAAGTCTTTTGAAACTTCGCTAAAACTGTTTTTTCAGCAGAGTTATCGCCATTAAGAATAACTTGCCATTTTACATTGTTAATTTCCAAAAATATCAAACAGCTTCATATAAAAACTTCGTAAACATTTATCAAAACTTTCGTCGCTAATCGCATGTTACATACTAATTTTGGTTTTGTCATTTGTAGTGTTCTTGCTTTGTAACAATACTTTGCTATCTCTTACCTGACTTTGCTACATGTGTCACCAAGTTTGTGTCTTATACATTTTTTGGACCTTCAAAACTTGTAGTAATTGCTCTAATAAATTTAAGTCAATTATCGTATTAGGCCAGGTGAATAAAACAAAGCAATTGCTTTTAATCAGTAATTACACACCTTTACATGAATAAAAATTTGAACGGTTTTGCTTAAATTTATATTCGCGTAAAGCTGAACAATTACTCCAAAAACGCTAAGTAAAAGAATTGCTTTTTTTTTATTAATTCAACTATCGTATTAATTAACCATTCAATTATTGTATTAATTAATCATTTAGTTATCGTAAAAAAAACTTCAAATTTAGATTAAATTTATAATTGAGTATAAACAATTTACTATTTTTCTAAAAATAAATTTTTTTTATAAAATATAATACTTGGTATTAATAATAATTTCGTTTTATAAATTGTAATTTACTACTCAAATAATCTAAACAATATATGTACAAACCCAAAGTTGAAAATTTTTTCACTCATAATAAAATTATACTACCTGTTCATAGTTTTCAACTAATGGCAAGATTATATATGTATGCATATATATATATATATATATATATATATATATATATATATATATATATATATATATATATATATATATATATATATATATATATATATATATATATACACACTTAAATATGCTTAAGTTAAAAAAAAAACTACAAATTTTATTAACGCAAAAAATAAAGAAAGAGGATCAATTAGCAGCGTGTTTCTCATGCATAATCATCAAGACCCATATCGGGCATAAAAGGTGCTAAACCTCTTTCGTGACGCAAATAGTTATATCTTTTCTCTAATTGTTCTTTTTGAAGAAGTTCTACGCGTTGAGCTTCCAAAATTTCTTCGACAGTCACCTCTTTTAAACCACTTGATTTTTCTTTTAATGCATCCTATGTATATAAATAATAACTAAATAATAAAAACCTAATAATAACTATGCTTAATAAAAATAATAACAATGGTTTTTTAATTAAAAATGAAAAAAAATGCATTTTAACAACATTTTGGTAATTAAATTTTATTAATAAAATAAAAACGAATATTATTTTTGAAATTTTAATTTAATTTCGCTTTTTTGATTATTGAAATCAATGACAATTTATTATATAGAACACAATTATCTCATCACAGAAGTTTGGTTCTAAAGACTTTTGGAAAATCTTCAACAGCATAATTAACAAGGGTAGATCTAACATTCCATCTCTCATTCATGGGACTGATCTTATTACCTCTCCCAAGGATAAGGCAGAACTATTTGCAAAAAACTTTTCTTCTAATTCCACTCTTGAATCTTATGGACATTCTCTTCCTTCCATTCCAGTCAAACAGGTTGACCCATTGTTAGACATTCAAATCACTCCGGCTTCTGTTGCTAAAGTCATATCTCAATTAAACTCGTCTACAGCTTGTGGTCCAGACAACATTTCTGTCACAGTCTTGCAGAATTGTTCTCCAGAACTTTCTTCAATTCTCTCTAAACTATTTAACAAGTGTTTGACTGAGTCTTGTTTTCCTGCTTGTTGGAAAATGGCATCTGTGGTTCCAATATTCAAAAACTCTGGAGAAAATTCTGATCCCTCCAATTATCGTCCGATCAGTCTTCTTTCTGTTATTAGCAAGGTCTTCGAGTCTTTGATCAACAAATTCCTCACATCTCATCTTGAGTCAAATAAACTACTGTCAGACAATCAATACGGTTTTTGATCCTCTCGCTCTGCGGCCGACTTGCTAACTGCTGTAACTGAAAGATTTTATCGTGCATTAGATGGAGGCGGTGAGGCTAGGGCTATTGCTCTCGACATATCTAAAGCTTTCAACAAAGTTTGGCATGCTGGTCTTCTCCATAAGCTTGCTTCATATGGTGTTTTTGGGAAAGTTTTTGAAATTATCAAATCATTTCTTTCTACAGGCCAACACTCTTCTTTATTTCCAGTAACTTCTGGGGTTCCCTAAGGTTCCATCCTGGGCCCTGTTTTGTTTCTTATCTACATAAACGATCTTCCTGACAACCTTTCATCTAAAGTAGCTCTTTTTGCTGATGACTCAACTTTATACTCCTGTCTTGACAAAAAGTCTTCTCTTTTCGATTGCCTAGAACAAGCAGCTGATATTGAATCCGATCAGTAATGGATTGGGGTTCACAGTGGCTTGTGAATTTCAACTCTAACAAAACCCAGTTGTTTACTGCAAACAACTACCGTAATATGGTCAACATATATATATGGCAATCCTCTTACTGAGTCCTCCTTTTTACGTCTTTTTGGATTATCGCTTACTACTGACCTTTCATGGAAACCATATATACAATTGATTGCTAAATTAGCTTCTTCTAAGGTTGCTTCTCTTTATTGTGCTCGCCATTTCCTTACTTCTGATTCCATTCTCTACCTCTACAAATCTCTTATTCGTCCCTGTATGGAATACTGTTGTCATATTTGGGGTGGTTCTTCTAATGATTCACTTTCTCTTCTTGACAAGGTCCAAAAACGCATTGTAAATGTTGTTGGACCTGGACTATCTGCTAAGCTTGAGCCTCTTTCCCATTGTTGTAAAGTTGCATCTCTTTCTCTTTTCTACAAATATAATCATGGTCACTGCTCAAAGGAGTTATCATCTCTAGTTCCATCAAGTAAAATTCATTCTCATTTTACTTGTCATTCAGCTAAGTCTCATTCATTTACTGTATCTGTCCCTGCATGCTCTAAAAACTTTTATTCATCTAGTTTTTTACCCCGCACTTCAATCCTTTGGAACTCTCTCCCATCTTCATGTTTTCCTGACTCATACAACCTTCAACTTTTCAAGTCTTCTGTCAACCGTTTCCAGCCTTGTTGGGAGTGAATGCAAAAAAAAAAAAAAAAAAAAATATATATATATATATATATATATATATATATATATATATATATATATATATATATATATATATATATATATATATATATATATATATATATATATATATATATATGTGGCTGGATAGCTCAGTTGATTAGAGCGTCAAACAAAATGTTTATACCCGGACTGTTGTAAGATACGAGTTAAAATCCTGCCACCGCCAACTCAGCGCTTGAGTAGTACTTCAGTACGCAAAAATGTTGGTCAATAATGGGCGCTACTTTAGATTAGTCTTAACGACTATTTGTGGCTGTTCCTATGTTAAGCATATCAATATCTTCGGATATAAGAACATTGTATAGAAATATATAGCATAAAAAATTCATATATATGTATATATATATATACATATATATATATGTATATATATATATATATATATATATATATATATATATATACACACATATATATATATATATATATATATATATATATATATATATATATATACATATATATATGTATATATATATATATATATATATATATATATATATATATATATATATATATATATATATATATATATATATATTACCTGTCAAAAGCATTTTTGAGCAATATTTAAAAATACATTATAACAAAAAAAAAATATTATGTGAAAAGAAACCTAAAAAAAAAATCTACAAAAATGATTGGCTGTGAATTATCTTGAATAAAAAATCTTTTTCAAGGTTTATTAAGTTTTAAGGTAACACTCCAATTCTTATTGCTGTTACAATTCTGTAACCAGTAAAAACCAATCAATCAATTCAATCAAAGTATCAACCAAAAGATTCTAAAATAATTTCTGGAAAAAACCTACTGGATAGTTCTACTTTTTTACTTTTGTTTCTGATATAAAAAAAAAAAAAAAAAAAAAAAAAAAAACAATGAGTTTTCCTTGTAACAACTGTCAAAAATTTTCACACACACCCTCCCCTTATTTTTTAACAAAAATGGACAGATGCTTACTATAAGTGAAATTAAGCAATTAAAAACAATGAAAAAAAATCAAGTAAACAAATTTACAGAGCGCAAAAATTTTTACAAAACATTTGCCCACTGTAAACTTTTTATTATTTATTAAGTAATTTTGACTGCTGTTTCTGAAAATGAAAAAGAATGCCCAATACATCACCAGTGCTTTGCAAAACATTTCATAGGAAATTGTTTGCGTGGTTCTTTTGTAGGCTTGGATGATGAAAGAAAGGTAGTGGATTACAAGATAGATAATACTAGGAACTTTGTAAAATGCGCTATTATTATGTACTTTAAATACAAGACTTTTTGATTCCATCTAATAAAAACTTTCACAAAATGTGTAAAAACATTCTGTTATCAAATATACATTTAAAGTTTGTCCACAAGACCAAAGCATCTTGCTTTAAAAACATCTTAAGCAACTCTAAATACATATCAAATACGCATTATATACATATTTATGCAGATTGGGTAAGTTCTGTTATTTTCATAAGAGCTACTAGAAGATGTTAAAATTCTCCTGATATACTTTGCTATGCATGTGGATATTATTTTGGCAAAAAGCATATATTATGTACAGGGTTCGTAGCCACATATTTATAAAAATTTCCCTGACTTTTCCCTTATTTTTTTGAAAAATCAGATGAATTTCTCTGACCATTTTTAACATTTGCAATGGTTTTTATAAAATGTTAAAAATTACAACTGTAATGAAAATGCTAAAATGTACATGCTTAAAATGACAAAACTTATAAAACTTAGCTATTAGTTAAGTTGGATGTTAGTATAGATTTTATTATGCATTTTATTAAGGATGACTAAGAATAAACAACAGGTGAGCTTCTTAAAAAATCTAAATATTATGCACATAAAATTCAGTTTCAGATGATCTTCAAGAAAATCTAAATATTATGCACATAAAATATTTTATGTATAATTATTTTTCACTAACATAAAAATAAACTAAAATGTCTATGTAGATATCTTTCAACATTTTGAGCAATATTTGGTCTATAACAGAGACTACTTTGGGTTAGTTGTTTTTTTATCACTATTTGTAGCTGTACCTTCGCTAATTCAATAATACCTTTAGATAAAAATAGCACAGTATAACAAAACATGCTTAGAAACATTAAAAAAAAAACTTTTAATTAATTTTAAATCGCATATATTTTTTAAGCAAAATCTTATATTGAAAATATAATTAAAGTTTTTTAATTAGCCATATTTGCATAAATGTCAACATAAATAATATTTTATATAAACAAACAAATTGTCAAAAAGCAACTATTGTTAATTCAGTTTCTTTCTCTTCTCTTCTTATATCAATAATGTTTCCTGCAACTTAGCTACGTCTTTCATTTTCTCCTCGCTTGACCAATGATAAATTGTTTTCTTTTTCCGCTTGTTCCACAGTTAAGACAAACTCTTTTTCTAGCATCAATGAAGTTTTTGTAAGGAAACCCATTTTAGATTTTAGCTCTTCAATTTCAGACAAAATAATGGCTTTCTGATCTAACATAGCATGTTTTTTATTCTTTGACTTCTCTTCCTCAAGCATGATCTGGTATTTTTGATGAGCAGATTTAAAGGCAACTTTCATTTCTGATGTAATCTGGACAGAGTGGGGGTTGAGGTTGTTGGTAAGCATGAAATCACGCACAAGACGCTGTCCAACAATACCATCTGTTGATATATTATCGGTAACCACATCCTTATTAACACTAAACCCCCGTTCAACTGATGCCTGTCCATGACTCAGAGTCAAAACCAACTTAATGACAGATGACAACTCTGGATACTTTTTTATGTCAATGTTTTTGAAGTAAAAATCATCAAGACGTTTATTATTTCGATCATAACTATTGATCATATTTACTACTGTTTATATTTCGATTATATTTAATAATTATATTTTATATTTTCGATTATATTTAATAATTATTTTTTATTATTAACTACTGATTATATTTCGAACATAAACCATTACTTTTTTAATAAAAACTTTCAAAAGTTTTCAACAAAG